CCCCCACCCCCACCCCCACCCCGGGTGGCTGCCCATTGGGCCAGCGCGCTCCGACCCATCCCGCAGCACCGCCCAGCCCGGGCAGAAGACAGAGGGCCCGGCGGATTGGAGCGCGTTCCTTCGGGCCCCGCCCCATAGCGCTGTCTTCGGAAGAGGACCGACAACCGCCATCCTCCATTGGGGAAGGGCTGTGGCGAGCGCCTCTCAATGGCTGCCCCTCACTTCCGTCTCTGCGCTCTAGAGCCCCAGCGCCCGCAGTTGGCAGGTGAGGCGGGGCGGGCTGGCACGAACTGGGGCAGGTCTGGGCCGGTCTCGTAGCCGGACCCCTGCGCCCCGGGTGACCTTGGCCGGGCGGTGACCTCCCCGTCACTCCCGCATCCATCCTCGCGGTTCCCTCGGCTGGCAGCGCACGGGGTCTGCACCAGCCTTTCACCTACCCAGGCCTCGTTCCAACTTGGAGTCCCTGCACCGCAGATGGCAGGCAGGAGGGATCTAGAAAAGCTTCTTCGGGTTCTAGAAATGCTGCTTCTGAGACCCGCCCAGACTTAAGGAATTGGTTTCTCCAGAATCGCGGTTTTGTAGGTTCCCAGACCTGACTGTTGATCAAACTGTGTGTGAATCTCTGGCGCCTACCTTACCATCCGTGGACCCACCAACACTTACAGGTGTAGGAGACACCAAAGAAGCAGATTCCTTCCTGCACACAGACAGGTTCCTGCACACAGACAGGACCTCACACATTTTAGGCAGTTCTCCCATTCCGCCCTGTTGCCAGACTCCAGCGACAACTCTTATGTCTGTTGAACTCCCCACCTCCAAGGCTGGGTAAGAGTGGTGACCCGAAGAAGGCATAACCTCTTAGCTGACAAGTCTTGAGGAAGGGAAGGTTTCTTCCTCTGGGGAGGGCTACATAGTGCCCAATATACCCTCCCAACACACAGTAGGACGACTGAAGTCTTGAGGAAATTGAAGGGGCACAGATCCATCATGTTTTTCCTTCACGTGCCCTGCAGTCAGCAGGCAGCTGAGGACCACCATGCTGCCTCCCCTGGGTGTCTGCAAAGACACAGAGCCAGTTCAGCCTAGGTGCCCTTGTCTTCTGGGTCCCTCAGCAGTCTACAACTGCCACCACCTTAACTCTGACTCTGCCTTGCCCTCCTGCCCACTCCTCTAAACTGGAGATTATAACCTGAATTTCAGCCTTGCAGAAGTCCTTCCCAAGCCACCTTTTATTTCCTCTTGATAGTATCAGAGATTGAACCTAGGGCCTTCAGAATGCCAGGCAAGTGTTCTACCACTGAGCTAACAGCCCCAGACCCTCAAATCACCTCTCCAAAGGTAGCTCCCAATACTCATTACTTCCAAACCCAGACTTCCCAATTCCAATCACCAAAATAAAACAGGAACACACAAAACATAAAGTCTAAAAATAATATTACACAGAAACCATTTAAAAGTTCATCTTGTATCTTGCAAGGAAGCAGACTTGCTCCTGTGTACAAACAGGTTCCTACATACAAACAGGGCCTCAGGCACAAAAACTGGAGACATTTTTACAGCTGGAGGCAAATCAGGCAGGTCACCTGACTTAGTTTCTCAAAATGTGATGTGGCTAGGCATTCACCTCAGATGAAGGGGCACAAGCTGCTGTGCTAGAGCAGAGGTCAGCATACCTGTTCTACAAAGGGCCAGATATGTAATTGATTCTCAAAAAGGACAATTTTGTCCCAGGAAACAGGATAAACTTCTGGTTGTCACAAATGAAAGTTGCTACTGGCATCCAATAAGCAGAGACTAGGGGCCTTGATAAACAACTTAATCTTCAGAACAGTCCTCCTTCATTCACAATAAAGAAAGGTCCAGAGGCTAAAGAGCTGGCTTAGCAGATAAGAGCACTTGCTGCTCTTACAGAGGACTGGAGTTCAGTTTCCAGCACTCACATAACAGCTCACAACAGTCTCTAAATCCAGTTCCAGGGGACCTGACACCCTCTTCTGGCCTCCTCCACAGGACCCTGCACACATGGCGCACTTACTTATATACATGTAAGCAAAACATTTACCCACATAAAATAAAAGTTTAAAAATCTTAAAAAAAACAAAAATTGGGGTTGGAGATGGCTGTGGTTAAGGGCATTTGTTCTCTTCCAGAGGACACAGGTTCGCTTCCCAGCACCTACATGACAACTAACAACAGTCCTTAATTCTAATTCCAAGGGATCCAACACCCTCTTTGGACCTCCATGTGCACTGCACACATGGGTGTGGACCTTACATGCAGGCAAAACACTCATACACATACATTTTAAAAAATGATGCAGCTCAAACAGGTAAGAATACTAGGCCTAAGGTCACATTTGCTCTGTCACATATTAACCTTTCCCGATGTTCTTTAGGGTTTTCTTTCTTTCTCTTCTTTTTTGAGACAAGGTCTCACAGCCCAGGCTAACCTCCAACTATGTTTCCAATAATGACCTTGGACCTGATCCTCCTGCCTCCATCTCCCAAATGCTAGAATTATAGGTAAGCATTCTACTAACTCAGATGCCCTGTCCCCTTTTCTTTCTTTTTTTTTATAGCCACTTAGGGAGACAGTGTGACATCTTTTTATCCCCTTAAAAATGTAAAAACTAAGCCAGGTGTGGTGGCGCACGCCTTTAATCCCAGCACTTGGGAGGCAGAGGCAGGCAGATCTCTGTGAGTGCAAGGCACCCCGGTCTACATAGCGAGTTCCAGGTCAGCTGGGGCTACA